ACTGTATTGCTGGTAGAAGATGAACTGAAGATATTTGTAAAAGCAAGACATGAAATATCTGTATTTTTTCTAAATACAATACTTGAAACATCATCAGGACCCAGGGTTTGGGATGAACTCAAGGTTTTGAAATGTTTAAGAATATCATTTTTATTAAAACCAGAAAACAAATATCTCTTTGACCACAAACACCAACGCGAATGAAATCAGTCTGCCAAAACAAAAACAACTGGCTTAAGGCTCAGAGAGAACAAACTCCTTTTGTTTTTTGCACAAGTAAGCTCCTTGAATTATTTCCATATATTGCTAGAGTTCTTATGTGACAGAAACTTCTGATTGTGTATCGTATCTAGACAATTCTCTCCAGAGCTTTTTGAGATGAGGAGAATAATGTTTGTCAAACCTCATAAAAACTGTTTCCACAAAGCAGCTTATATCAAGACACACACCGAGATAGGTATATAAAACTTCAGCAATAAATATATCCTTAAGCATGTTTCTCAAATGTTATATATTCTTCTGTGAATAACACCTCTAATGAACTTTCTTGGGAAGATGTCCAAATGCTTTCATATGTTAATTGCCATACACTAATGGCAAAACACATGCAATGCAGTAGTCAGAAATCAGCAGTAGAGCTCGTTTACGGGCTCCATATCTACTGAAGTCATCATAAAATACTAAATCTAGTGTGTTATCAATATGTGCATAAAAGCTGACTAGATTTTCATGACCCAATGAAGAAAGAAAACTGCAATTAAATGAATTAAAAAATCTCCATATACTACAGACAAAGTGTCACTCAGAATCGCAGCGGCAACCAACAATTCATTAACGAAAGTTGATAAAGCGGACAAACTACGCCAAGTGTTGATATAAATGTTTCCGATGTAAATATGTTTGTATTCACTCAAATGCGGAGGATGATATTTAATGATAATCCAGTCGATTTTAAAGTTGGAGAAGCTAAATTACACATAATAAGAGGTAGACTAATTTGTATTGGCAAATGATGCTACACTTCAACCACACTTCTTTATGGAAATATGTAGACCTTATCAAAATAACCTGAAACTATTTAGATAAACTAAAACACCTTCATACAAGTTATGGAGCCATGTTTTTTGCAGCATTATTACACCCATATATCGATAACTATTTATGGACAATAATGACTAAACATAATAAACTTTCTTAGGTAAAGATCCGGATTTGGTGTTCAGTATTTCCAGAATAGTCACGTGATCTATGGTCATACACTTGTGAGCCCATTGCAATTCACGATGGTGTTTTTTCTGACTTATCTTTCAGCTTGTTGAGTGATGGGTTGTAATGATTTTAAAAACGTGCGAGGGTATATTACATTGGCTAGAAGACAACTGAATGGTTAAAAAATGTAGAACGAAGGAATTTGATACATTGTTTTTCGTTGTAAAAGAAGGCGTCCAGAGTTCAAGCAGAGGATTCGACGAATAAAACTGCAATTAACAACAATAATAATAAGGTAACAACAAAATCACAAGTCTCACCCTGACGATACCATATAGGGAGTTTTTTGAAATGATTGAAAGGGTATGCGCCTCATATGGTATTGAATTCTGTTATAAAGCGTAAAATTCACTCGAAAAGATCTTAATGAAAGATACATTTCCTAAAATGTCACAAAACAACTGTGTCTGAAAAATTTAATTTTTGGGATGTAAGGCTATTTATTTTGGGGGAAGTTGAAGACCCTTAATATTAAGAACGAATGAACATAAGTTATATGAGAAACATCCACCAAAAAATCAAGATGAACTGGAAAATTTAAAAAAGCAATCAGGAATAGCTATACTTGCATTTGAAAGTTGATATGCGAATGTCTTTGATGATATGGACACATTGGGGAAGGTTTTCTATTCGCATAAAGAAAGAATAAACTCTGAAGCTTCATAATATTCCAAAAACATCAGATACTTTAACGAGAAGATAAGGAATAAACCTGTCACCAGTTAGGCAAGCATTTATCCAACAAAACCATTATTCATGACCTTTTCTACTTGAAGCGTTAATAACAATGATAATTGCTGACTGTTCATCAGTAAACTATTATTCTCATACAACTACAGAAAACAACACATTCTGCAACATACGTAAATACACGCACACACATACAATCTGGGAATTCGACAAAAAGACAATAAGTTAAACGAACTTGTAATGGCTAATCATAACCACTCAGACTGAACAACAAACTACCTAATCAATGACCTACGTACACTATATATATGACATGCTATTTGACTACATATCTTTAGGTTAATAAAAGATCCAAATTTTTTGCTGAAGAAGATATGACTGAAACATCAAAAACGTTCAGAAAAATCTTATTTGATCCTTAAACACGATGGAATTACATTAAAGTATATTCCTATACACAAGGTTGCCTACTATCACCCATGATATTCCTCATTGTGGTTGACTGCATCATGCAGCAAACAGTGAGGAGCGAGAAGGAGTGGATACACTGCACCACGGCACGGAAAAGATCCTACAAGATCTGATTTCACCGATGACTTGTGTCTCATATCACACAAACTTGATGATCTACAGGCGAAAACTAACAAGTTGACAGAAGAGGTGAGGGAGGGCAGCGAACATGGGACTTCAAGTGAATATAGAGAAGACAGAGGTGATGAAGATACCGCACCAACAACTCCAACAACAACAATAAGCTGCAATCACCACGAACGGGAGAAACCTAAATGAAGTAGCCTCCTTCACCTATCTAGGAAGCACTATTTCAACTACAGGTGGCACAGGCACAGACGAGGATGTCAAAGCCAGCCAGGATTGGAAAGACAGCAAGACAGGCTTTCGTGTATTAACCTGAAAGCAGTGTGGAGATCTTCTGCACTCCTCTCAGCATGTGGAACAAGATGTGGATTTTCAACACCAACGTGGAGTCAGTGCTCCTGTATGGTTCAGAGACTTTGTGCGTTGCGAATGGGATTTCCAATAAACTACAGACATTCATCAACAACTGCCGCCTACGCTGGCTCCTTACTGAAGATCAGATGGCGAGAATAACAAGAATAAACAACAAGGAACTCTGGCTGGCTGGCTGGCTGGCTGGCTGGCTGGCTGGCTGGCTGGCTGGCTGGCTGGCTGGCTGGCTGGCTGGCTGGCTGGCTGGCTGGCTGGCTGGCTGGCTGGCTGGCTGGCTGGCAACGAATCAACCAAGAACCTATCACTCAACAAATATGTGTTGGAATGAAGTGGAGATGGATTGGGCGTACACTGAGAAGGCCGACTGGGGACATCACATGTCAGGCCAATTGTTCGAGTGTAACCAAGATGGGAGGTGACGAGTTTGGTGTCCGTGGTGAGGGTGACCTGGAGGAGGTGGTGTGAGGAGGAGAAGAGAGGTTTTGGGCTGTCGTGCAACCAGGTTGAAAAGATTTTAGAGAAGAGAGTGAAATGGAAACGTGTTACTGGAGCCTTATGTTCCATTAGGAACCCAAGGGACTAATAATTTTAATAATAATATTCCTATACGATAATGTGTGTTATATGCATCGAGAGATTGATTGACCAGTTGGTTGAGTTTGAGTTGTCGTTTCAGCTGAAGTTAATCGCCACAAAGTGTCATTCACTTCATATGACAGGATAATAAATATTTTGTCCCTATATTATGAATTTAACATGAGTGAAGCCAGTTTACATGAATCATCAAATTAATAATGGTTACGAAATCTACAATATAAGAGTTGGATAACTGCATATCGTTTTATTTCAACGGTATTTTTCAATAGATTACTCAATGGAGGCTAGGTTATCTGAACACCACTAAACAGTAGATAAGAAACTTCCCATAGCGTTCTTCTTCCTATGATTCAGCTCTCATAATAAAACTGTCTAGAGTGGCGATAAAACCGGCACTAGCAAAGTACTAAGAGATCTCCACCAGTGTTGTAATATTTGTAAAGTGTCACACAATTCAAGTTCTGATTTTTTTTTCTCATTTAAACAGGATTAGATGATTAAAGTTTACTCATCGATGAGAATTATCAGTGCATAGAATCAGAAGATGAACAAATGTAAAATGAATTTACAGCTAGCTGATTGCCAGTATTTCTGATCTCTTAAGTTAATCACTCCGAATCGATGGTATACCTTAATAGATAGATGAATAATACCTGTCAGATGCTGTTTTCTTGTTGGACGGAATCGATTCAAGAGGTCTTAATTTGTATTAAATTTCACCGATTTAATCGCAATGACCTCATACCGTAGCGAAATCTATGGCATATGGATTTGATTAGCATTACTCACAGGTATAGGTAATAAATATACTTATAAAATACATTTAAGCAGAGAAAATACTTTCATATTTGGTCGACTAGATGTTATCGAAGAGACTTCATGATGTATATAGTAAATTACCAATCAGTGAACAGAAAAGCACCTTTAGGTCACTTACAGATACCTTGATTCACACTACCTATAGTCCAAACGATGCTTCGAAGGTTTTTTCAGGGGTTGCAAAAGTCATTATCTCATTGATAACTGGCTGCGAAAAATAACTGCCATTCAGAGTTATTTCAGTCTTTATATCTTTCAAGGGACTTGATACAGCCTAAGTTATGTAAATGTGCAGACGCTTGCACGGTATACGTTCAAATTCTAACCTTGATGGTAGCTCACTTTCTATCTAAATAGAAAATAAGTAATACAACAAAAAGTATGTGATTACAGCGTCAACAGCAACGTCAATAAATAAATGCAAATCGCAAAATTTATATTGAATACCATGGCCTTGGTTATTCCTAGGAATGCTAAATTTAATTTCTATCGATTTTTTATCAACCAACTTGATACTTACACTTCAATTCACGTATTTTTTCCCGAAACTTCGAAGCAAAGCGATTGGTTGAAAAGACTTTAGATATATTCAACTTCTTATGTAGTTCCTGTCAATCTTTCTGCACACTATACTAGTTTGTATCTTTGGTAACCTTGTTTGATGAAAGCTTAATTAAATATGAGGAATGTGTAAAATAATTCTCTTTGTTACCAGCTACTGTTATCATGTTATCTCATTATAATAACAAAAATATCTGGGTCATTCAAACTGTATATTTATTATTATTTTGTATGTAAGTTTACTGTTGTGGAAATTATTGATTTTTTATGATGCAGTTATGAAAATTAATGGGATCCTACGATATGTATTTTATATTTAAAAATGGCCAACTGTAAAAAGAGGGATATAACTATCCAGTACTCCGAGCGTAGCGCAGAAAACTACACATTTTGCGTACCAGAAGTGTTCAATTCAGATTCAATATTTGAGATAGCAGAGCAGATTTGTAGCTCAAGATGAGGGAAATAATTTTTTGGTGTTCTCCTAGCTTCGATGATAGTTACGAGTAAGTCTCATCACCAGGTTAGATGACTTTATCATCATTTACTTCGCATAGAAGTAATGAAAATTCGACTTGCATGGATGTTTGTAAACGATATTTTCAAATCTTCAGCGTTGTTGATTTGTGGGTAAAGATAACCTGTCCATCATTCTCATCACACCTTCACCTCTATTATCCTTATCATCGTTTGAATCATACTGATAACCAAACGTCTGATTATTGATCCGCGTGGCTGATCCATCACCTGTTGACTGCTCCCTTCCTAGCACTCAGGTCAATGTCCACATGTCTTTCCGTTGCCACCTGATTGAAGTTTTCAGCTCGCCTGCTACAATATTCCTACATTGTCCCGATCGAACTTGTAGTTGACATCTTCCACATGTAAGGATATCATTGAGGATATATCATTTTTCATTCAGCTGTTAGTTGGTGATCATAGATTATTTGGGCTGTTTGATTGCAGGAATGGCCAACATAGTCATGTTGATGGCCCCTGCAACTAACTTTGTGTTCCATTGATAGAAATTTCATGATGAAGTTAGTTCTGAACACTTTGTAAAGGTATTTTTGTCCTGACTTCTGTAGTTGTTGGTTTGTGCAACTAGTCTTTCCATGTGCAAATCGTGCTTGTAGACAACTGTTTCTAATTGACTTTGAGTTGTACTTGTATTGGCTCCAAATTGATTTGTATGTGTCACTTTCTTGTACGCCTGATTCCGTAAGATTCCATCATGTATTTCGTTAATATGTAAATGTAGGAACGTGATTTCGTTACTTGCTTCATCTTTTGTGAATTGATGACTTTCAAAAGTCGATCGATGAAACTGAACATGTTTACAAAGTGAATCAGTTTGCTTATTGGGTCGGCTATAGATTCCAGCCCCTGTATTTTGCTTCAGTGATCAGTTCGGATATTGGCAATCGACACAATGGTTATGAACAGCTGTTTGGGAAAAAGTTTTCTGACATGCTTGTTGCTAAAGTGGAAAGAGCAGAAGTAACTACAGAAGTCAGTGAGACAAAACCTTATGCCATACATATCTGTGAAACGTTTACTGTGGGTAGTAATTATATTCATAATTAATAATGTTATCATACTAATAAGGTTTGTTTTTTGAGGCTTCATTACGAGCTATCATACTCAACCTGAGGTTCAAACCTTTTCGGTATCTCTTTATGAAATATATCAAATGTCCGTTCAAACCAGTAAATAAAGCCCATCTTTCATCAAGTTTTATGTACAGTAGGACACTAGGAACACATTTCTTCGTCAAGATCTACGTATCACCTGAAAATCTGATTAAACCTGTTGGAGATATAAGTATCGCATAAAAACCTGGAGTCAGTAACATTTATAGTATGTGGGTGGGAAATTCTCGACAGAGATGCTTGACAAGAAATCCGCTTTTATCTAGAAACATCTTCACAAAAAAGGCAGTTCTCCAAAGTTCGCCCAAAATAGTGGAATCGAAACTTCTACGAACCATACTGCGTAACAAACTGGTGTTTGTATAATAGCAATTCATGGAAATAAAACAGATAATAATGAACAAAACGGACTCAACATTTGACCTAAGGTGTTATCAATCCTTTTGTTGCTGGTAGAGATTCCAGTAATCCACACAAAAGTGGATAAGTACTTTTCTTTCAGGACATGGAACAGAATTTACCAATCTAATTGACCCAGGCAAAATAGGTGCACTAACAGGGTAGAAAGAAGGACAACATTCCGAAGAAACTACATCTTAAAGGACCGAATGGCACAAACAGATCAGCTTCTGCTCCTTTGCTTGACACTAGGAAAGACCTTGACAAAAAATGTTTTCAAAATCACCAACAAGCAGATTAATTCTGCTTCCTTACTAGATTTGTTTACTTGGTGTAGCATATAGTGATAGTGTATTATTATCTTGATGACGTTTTGAGCATAAATTATTGCTCATAATCGTAACAGTATTGATTTTTCTAAGGCAAAGAAACAGATCACTAATAAATACTGCTCAGAAACTAAATCCAGAGTCAAACGGGTGTTCAAGATCTCATGTAAGTATTCCTGTAGAATGTTAATTATCACATTCACATCGAAAGTTACTCTACACAACAACCCTCACTACGAATACCACCCACATTTGCCGAATTTCAAAGAAGATATAAATTAGCTTACATTCAGTCAGCCTGCACTCAGAGACATTTGCTTTCCATCCTTTCTGGAATAGCAGTAATAATCATGACTCGACAATTTATCTCAAGGAGAGGTGACAAACACCAGCATGCATACCCAATGGATGACAGCGACAACAATCTAAAGATGATGTGAAATTTAGAAAAGTTTTCAGATATTTACTTTCATATAGGCATTGTATATACCATGCATTAGGAATTGAATAATATGCATGTAGTGTGTGGATAGTTGACCCAGATATCTTTCTCATTGATATGGTAAAATATTTAAGCATACAGAGAATGTAGTTAATTGACTGGTGACTGTTCATCCATCTGTTGTGCACGTACAGACAGGGATGATGTGTGTCAGTGTAAGTAAACGTATCTGTGGTATTTATTCCTTCGTCGACGAATAATATTGTTGTAAAAGGGAACATGGTGAGAGTATGATTTGTCAGTGTTGTTCTTCTTCTGCTTTAGTTTAAAAAAATGCATCTTTTTTTCTTTGTGATTAACCAAATTATCTGAAGGCTGAATAATTTATAATATCTGCAAGTGTGTAATCTATGCACATCTTTCCTTAACGAAAATCGAACACCTCATTATCTCACTAATTAAATATGAACAGTGGTTTTTCGGCACTCCGTGTAATAAGCTAACAGGAATAGTGAAATTTTTATTTTAAAACTAAATGAAATCTCATAACCGATTTGCAGTACTGCAAGCCGTCAATAGCTATTCCCAATCGAATTTGAATTGAAAATATCCATCGCATTGTAAAAGTAGCTTTTATTGTTACTTGTAGTTCCTCGTTGCTATGTAATTAATATTCTAGGACTATCGAGACATTCTCATAGGAGCTCATCTGCCAACAGACGTCAAGTGTCTCGAACTGGAATCCATTTAGGACTCAGCAACTGCATACACCTAAATCCCAGTTACTGCCGTTCCCACTAGGACTCGCACCTCGTACCAAACGCTTTAATTGCTAAGGCTTCCTCCCCTAGGCACATCTAACTGACGAGTCCCAAGATATCGAGAAGCGTGTTCCCGATTCCAGTGCTAACCACCAAGTCTGCTACAATATTACGGATATTCGGGCGGTATCAAGAGATCTGTATAATAGGCTATATGCCAACATAGGTCCAGCACTTCGACTGGGTGTAGCGAGAAGACAGCACAATTAACAATAAACAGTAACAACCGCTGATATCCGTTATTCAAGAGGCAGCTGTCGATTCTCAGTGGGTTAATGCATGACGCTTAGGCGTTTCAGGCTACGGTACTAGATTTGACTCTTCGTGAAAACACCAACACTCACTTGAGTGCTGGTACGTGCAGGTGATGAGTTACAAATGGGGTAAAAAGCGAGTTCTAGGTTCCGCAGTTAGCCACCAAGTACACTATGAAATGAAGAAGTATTTGTACCATATGTAACTGAATTTTATTCACTTTCTGTTCTAAAGTTCCTAAATTCTTCTGAGATGACAAACCCAGATTTCATAACTTTAAGCTACAAATCATTTCCAGTTGGTGGAGAATATTAGTAGACCATTTATGTGATTTCTGCGGTCCGCAGATTTCTAGGTTGGCTAGTTTAATTGTGAAGCTTTCATCGTCACTAGATAAAACACCATGAATACCATCTTGAAAAAGAAGTGACCTGGAAGAGTTTCTTTAAAAACGGCTATACACAATGGTGTTAAAGCTTGCGATTTCCCACCAAATCGTGTGACCTAAGTGAGAGATAGCTTTTAGCATATGAGTTCCTTCGCAGGGACTTCAGTATTGTCTTTAAGTTCAGTTTGATAGTAATGATGAATACGGTTTGGTTTCGGAATCTAAAACGAACATTTTGTTTAGTTTGAGAGCCGTCAGCTAAATGTACTGGCATCTTAGCGAGTGATGTTGTTGTCGCTGAGACCTAAAAGCAGAACCCGTTGCTCCAAACATCACAGCACTATCCATAAGACTACTGATTCACGATATCCACTTTTTGTGCACTGCATATAGTATGATGTTATAGCTTATAATTCCCTTCATAGATTAATAATATCACCTGTGGATAAATCCTAACCAAGTAAGAAACAGCTAATAGTCACGTTTTGTACTGAATTAAATCTCATACATTTACCCAGCAACCTATGGTTACTGGTTGTATTTCATGTACACTACTTCTTTGATTTGTGGATAATATATCAATTCAAGATATCAGTGAAATCTCCTGTTCTTCTAATATGATTCTGAATTACTTATTCTAGTGTGCATAAGATGTGGAAATTAATTCATAGCTTGGTTCAAAACGCAGCATAGAACTAACTGAACTAGTGGATTCTTCAGATGGGTCTCTCAAAATTCACTAGTCACTCCTTCACATCTCCATAAACCTCTCAATAAAGGTGTTGAATTAGTAAAACAAAACTATTATTTTCCTGAAATCAAAAAAACTGCTGCTTTTAAATGTAAGATCTGATGTTTAAGATCCGTTCTATCGATGGATGTGCTGAAGCTGTAAATTTAAGTCCTTGAGTTGTCCACATTCATTTGGTACAAAACTTAGCATACTTCAACATTGAGTCACTTAGTGAATTGACAGCTAGTTTTGTTGTTTATCACATATGTATGGTTTTGTACAATTCCTGTTTATGTTAAAGGCTATAATGTACAAAGTTACTAAGGTCATTATGGGAGCATGAATGAGCCGTTTAGAGACGAGAAAGACAACTAAATGATTTCATGGTGGTTGTTATTATGAACTGACTTATCCGGGGCAACCACTAAATACTAAACAGTTATTAATTATGCGATGATAAAGAGATTCAATCGTCGTCTGATTTATCAAGTATTGAATAATTTCACAATACTTTTTGTCTCAAATGAACCTTAGGTGCATACCTGATGAAAACATAAGAGCACCAGACAGTTATTTCATCCTGGTTCATCAGTAATTAGAACTGAATACTGAGGAGTACACGAAGCACATAACCCAGGACTGTGAAACGTAGTGGTGGGCATGTTGTTATTCAGTCAAAGCATTAGAATTCAGTCTTTCACATCTTCCTACTACCATACATTCACAGCATTACGAAACTGTCTTTATATTCCTCGTTCACCATCCTCCCCCATATCTGTCTTGTTTGATTCCACAGATCAGTTTATCATCTTACAGATTTCTGTATACTTAGTAGTTAGATACCAGTCACGAACTGAAAAGTCATACTGCAACAGTTTTAAGTAGTTTTTTTCTTGATTTCTATAACTTTATTTTTTTGTAAGGCTAGTTTCATGATCATCACCCTAAACTAATTTCAATAATAACTATAACTGTGCAACCATTAATTTTTGCTCCAAACGATTTTGAATACTTGGTACTATCAACTTAGTTCTCATGTACTAGTCAGTTTGAGGATGAACGAAGGATAGAACATCAATATTTTTGGTGCTTTCCTGTAATACTTTGACATTCCTTGTTATAATCTCTTTTCACCTCGGAGAAATGCTGACCCCTGAAAAATTGATAACTTATTTAATGATATGTTGGTCTGTTTAACTTAGTCTAAAACACATTCTGTTGGTGCTGAACATATCGTCTCTTTCAAGGACTGGATTTATCTAGAGATGCAGCTCATTAGAAAATGTTTTGAATGGTTTTTCTATGTTTACACTTTTCTGATGAAGTTTATACATTAAGAGTATCTAACTGCACATACTGTTCAATATTTAAGCTTCAGGGACACCATTATTATTACAGAACACCTACTACATAATAAATGGTATGTTATTTATTACTATACTACTCATTTAATTCTTTTTGCCAATAATAAGATTTTAGCGACGTTGTTATCAGTGAAATAACTTGATCTCGTGACAAGTGGATTGTTCAAACCTTCTGATTGACTATTTTATCAATGTTACAGTGACGGTTATAAATATCATATATTTTTGTTAACTCGCTTTTGATTGTCTACAGGGTAGTAAATTCGTTATCTGTCTTCTGTGTCAATTATTAATCTTATGTAGCCAGAACAGAGGACCACATGGAGTATCTGATGATCCCAGTACAGTTTTATCTACAGGATTTAAGAGTGATGAAAACACTGTAAGGTACGTTTAATGTTACTGTACGAAAGGAACCAAATTTGCTACCTAATATACCCTCTGCGATTAATGAACGTAATAATGACGGAATAAATTCATCAATAATCTTGACACAAATAAGTCCTGTAAATAATAAACAACTGAATTACTCAGATTTGAACTTCAGATATATAAACTGATATGAGTAAATAAATATATTTGAAGTAGATTGACTGAAAGGAACAAAAATGTCAATATTTGTTAAATTTCCAAAGTGAAATATTTTACTACTACACAATAAGAATTATTTACAATTATAGTAAAGATGGATAGTGGCCAGCAGAGGAATTCAGGATGCGCATTTCATCCTATTTTTGACTCATCAGCTGGACGTACTTGCCTCCCAGTGAGTGATGTTGTTCTCAATGGGATTCGGACTCGAGAGTGATCGTTCCAAACGCCAGAGCGTTTTCCATTACATCACTAAGCCACGATAGCCACTTCTTGTGTGACGGGTATAGTTTTAGTTTTATTGCTTTTAATAATAATAATATTATACCATCGTTGGTTGCATAGAATTGATTGTTCTGTATCGGCATATGGGCTCCTGTGCGAATACCTCGATATTACCTGTGTTCTAATTATAGTAATGATGGATAGTGGCTAGCAGTGGAATCCGGAATTCGCATTTCATCCGGCTGAAGAGTTCCAAATAAGACAAAATGAGCATCCTTGATTCCACTACTAGGCACTTTCCATCTTAACTATAATTAGAACACCGGTAATATCGAGGTATCCGCACAGGAGCATATATGCCAATAGAGAGTGATCAATTCGGTCCAATCGACGACGGTATAATACAAACAGTTATATTAGTCACAACTGTTCAAACGAATTTATCTTAAAAACTTAATGTTTTACTTGAAGAGGCTTCGTTTCCCACAAAGTTGACTATAAATCTGTCCACTAGTCAATGGGCAGGAGATAATACTGGTTGTTGAATGACTAGAATGAAGGTGATCTTATATTCAGAGTAAGCTCTGGTTCCAGTTGGCACGCGTCTCAGTATTATACGAGACATTGCCATCAATGCATTAGGGTTTCACAACAAAGCAACTTCAATTAAATACAAGGAAACAAAAGGAGTTGGTCAAATACATAGTTGTAGACTCCTTTAGGGGCAAACAGTCAACCAGTACGGTTCACAATACACCTCCAGTTCACCGAGTGAACAACCAGGAGAGTCTCAGGCAAGATAGCATATTACAAACATCCATGTACGGCCAATTACTAAACCTCATTGTGATGCTCAGATGCACTCAGGACTATCCCACTTTGAGCTCAAATTTTTTCACTACAACGTAAACTTTTGTGTACGATTTCCAGTACAGTTGATTAGCATCAGTGATAGGTAGCTGGAAACCGACCAATTTCTTGTTGCCCAGTTGTGATTGCAGACCGAATTCTATCAATCATTTTGTGGCAAACATACCAGAAGACTAAGCATTAGGGTGCAATATGGCTGCTGTTAGATGGCTACAGTCAAGCAACAAGAAGCCCTGCATCTAGGTTTTTTGCTTTTGTTGGCTTTGGTTAGCCCATAAGCGTCACTGGTTAAGTCACTGAGTGCAAAACTGAGTCACATAGTTTAAAAACTTTTAGGGGACACCAGTCCCCTCGAAGTTGCACATACACACTTCTGACAAGTGCCAACAGAAGTGAAACTTAGGTCCGGTGGGTCTTCCTGCCGACTGCCTCCAACCATCTAACAGTTAGTTAGTGTCTGACGCACGAAATATTATTAGTGAGTAGTGTAGAATTTTTAACGGTAGCCATAACGTGTCGTCTGTTCGACGAGCAGCTGTTTTACTATTGGCAGTGGACACACCAGCAGAAACAAAAAATACTTTTCGCGACCTAGTAAGTAAAGCGTTATCACTATGTGCCATATCAAATGTACCAATTTATTATTCAATTGTACTTTACCACAGTTCCATATTCTATTTCTTTACCTAAAGACGTGTAAAGCATAAATTATTGCTCACTATCATATCAGTCTGTAAACATAACTTTCGACAACTGGTTTTTTCATTCCTTTTACCTTATATTCTGTGTTCTGAGTGGTGGTAAAATTTTTCTCATCTCCGGTGTGTGTGCGGATGGGGCATAGTAAATGTACTGATATCTTATTTATTTGGCTAGAAGGAGATTGCTTACCAAATATTTGCACTGACACTTGACTGCAAATAACTCTAGAATATTAGATACTTTCTGCTATGTATTCACGAATGTACAGCAAAGAAAATGATTTCGTTGAAAATGAATATTTCTCTTCGCTGCGATAGTTTTCTGTCTATTCCTACGATCAAATAGACTTGTTTCGATATATGAATCTTCAATCATTTAGTCAGAACCCAATATATGTAATAAGAATGATGCTATACCCATCCCGGAGAAGTGAAACGTTTTACTATCTAGAAACGGAAAGAATATGAATTTATAGGACTATAAGAACCAGATGTCAAAAGTTGCATGATCATTCGGATATGATCATAACCAATAATTTATGTTCCAAAAGTCGTTAGGTAATACTGTATCACTGTGTGGTATATCAAGTAAACATATCTAATATGGAATTACATTCTGTCACAGTGTCCAGGCTTTACTGCCACGTTTTTATCCTTTTTTAATGAAGTCAAAATAAACAGAATGAAGCTTGTCAATGAAATCAGCATTGATATTGGAGCCGAAGCGAATATTTTGTTTACTATTTTTACACGTCATGAACATTCGTGTAAGACGGCATTGGGATCCTTTTTAATTTACTTCTCTATCTTACCTTTATTATTCCTTTGGTCACATTTTTGTTAAGACAAGAAAACGATATTCTCTAGTTACCAAAGAAACACCACAAAATATTCCACAACCAGACAACTTGAGTAGTTGTAAATTGCTCTGGTTCATGACACTTTCGTGTCAGAGATCACAGTTTGCCATCGTGGCTGAATGTTTTCCAACAAAGACCCTATTGACACCGTAGCTGAACAAGTGATAAAACTACTGAGCTGTAAATAATGCCAGCATGAACTGCTCAATTTGTAAAATATTTGGAAAATATACTACTATTCTTACCTTTTTATCGTCACCGTAAAGGAAGTGATTTTAACCATTAATAATGTAAAGAAGATAAATTCCATCTATTTCAACGCTTTGTCATAAAATGATTGATCACTGAGATATAATGGGAGTGAACAATGGCTAGTTAATCACTGATGGTGTTTGTTATGAAGGTCACAATAAGATAGGGATATCTTTCTACAAACTATGAATTACAAATATAGAGCCTGAAAGATAAGCTGATAGCTTAGAGTGTATCTATTTAGGAATCACTTAGCTCATGTTTTGAGAAGAAAAATTCGTTAATCACAATCTGACAAAGACAGTATCTTGAAAACTCAGGAAATAGACAATTTGTAATGGCTGCATAAACATAAGTATTAAGATGACGAAACGAATAACTTTAATTTACCTGTCTTCCAGTAATTGGTGTATGAAAAGTATACGCACCCATAGAATAATATTAGTGGGCCATGAATCCATTAAAAGAAAGAATAACAAAAATAGCAACCAACTGATTCGAAAAGAAGAAGCATTCACTTGATATATATTCACAAACAGCTTATTCATTTGGTGATACTTTCACTAAGGAAACCATAGTATGAATGCGGCACGTTACCGTTTTGAAGCACATCTAGAATGTATTAGGATGCCAGATCATTGCTATTCTAGCTGAACAGTCGTAATGCAGTAGGAAATATTTTGAAACAAAAATTTCTTTCATCTCTCACAATCATATCATATCACCAACTGACTGTATGCTCACCTGCAATTAATGCTGGTGTCAGAAAAGAATAATTGGTAAAGATAATGGTAAGGCACCTGACGATATAGCAACGCCTAAATTTTCATTCACATCTGTATAAAGTAGTAGCTTGCCTTATTAGACAAGTTTACCAGTGGGGAAAATAATGTTAGACTGTTTTGATTTTTAATTTGGGGTAAAATTAACTTGCAAAATTTATGATTGAGTTTAATAATTCAATGACCTAAGACAAAGCATTTGTTCTCTCTCAGGTGATCACTTTGGTATATTTAGGACCTAAATGAGGTGTTTTGCGGTGTTATACTACCCTGCCATATAGCGACATTTTCTTCTGTTGCTAGTGAGATGTAGAGGAAGCTGAACACTGACTTCATAATTGTTTGGTAATCAACTTAAGCAGTATTAAAACCACTTTATTAATTTTCTCCAGTGTTTTTATCAACCTGAAACGTTGGTTAGTGTATCAAGTTCAGCAAAACATTATCTTTTTAGTAAGCCGTGTACAAAATCTAACCAGTAACAAAAAGGCTATCTTAGACATTTGATATTTCCTAGATGCAGGTGTGAATACCTAAAGACAGCCACAACATTCACATCTCCCTTTTGCTCTTCACTTGTTTCATTGGAAAAGGAAAAGTTATGGAACAATAAAAGGTATGTCCTTAGGCTAACAATGTACGAAATGCTCCTTCATTTACGTGTCTGCGTGTTGTCCTCATCTAATAAGGATGCTCTGAAAGACTTAAAACATTGATTTTGTCATTATTATCAATCTTGAGTAGACAATACATACTCAAGTGATTCATTGTGATACTTCTAGTACTGCTTATAGGTTTCGAACGCAGTCAAGTGTTTCTAGGTTCTGTAAGAATTTAGTCGTAAGGATATTTTGTTTATCCTGATACCAACATGGTAATCAATTGTAACCAAGAGATGTGCCACACATCATAATCACTGGAACGAGATTTAAGTTACTGTAACGTAGTTTAAATATAGCCTATAGCTAATTTTAATAATCCCTGTCTAAACTCAAAGCATTTTTCAAACCCGAATTCTAGTAATGATTAAAGTTTACTCTTTGTAGCCTTCACATGTAACTTGACTTAACACAAATATAAAGAAAAGATTTCAAAGCAGAAAAATTTAGACAGGATATAACTCATCATCCATAAAAGTTCATTCAAACAAACGAATAATCAGTATATAGAAAATAAAGATTATCCTTACTCTATGTCTCCCTTTCCAAATAAATATGAAGCACCCTAAGGAAAAACTTATTTCTTACAAGAGATTTGAAAAAATGATTTGCCTATTAAACAAAAATAATAACTAAGACTAAAAGAGAATTAGATTGAAGAGAAAAAGAATAAGCCATAGAATTCTTTTTCTAGCCTATTGATAATTTAACGAATGAACAGAACCATATTTTTTAAAAATCTGAACTTATATTTTCTGCCTCTGCATACTTAGAGCTTTATTTATTTGCTAATTTAAAGGCAAGCACCCAGTTTTTGTTCTCTTTTGCCTGATTATTCAATTCCTTTTTAGGCACATATCAAAATCATGAGACATAATCAAACAGTTTCAATTTTCAATAATAAATATACCTGTAGACATATATGTTCATTTACCATAGTAATAATGATTTGGTTTGTTGAAAAAGAAAAGTGGGAGCATATGTCTTTTGACTTGCATTTCAGTTGGCTAAGCATATACACACATACATCTCCTAGTTGTGGTACACATGTGTCTGTAAGCGTAAATTCACTTCTATTCATAATATATCTACCATTAAATTGACCGTATTTCCTCTGAATTCACTAATCAACTAGTGTATACCAAATATTATTTCAAGTTTATTGAAACCTGGACAACTAAATCAGAATGTTTGTTGATGACTTCGTATATCAAGAGACAGATTTCAATATTGTCTAAGGTGTAAGATGCCTTTCTATTTGTTTTCAAGAAAACCATATTTTGATTTTCAGTATTCTCGTCATATCATTTCCCCCGATCCCAGTTCGGTGATTCAATCCAAACATTTGAGTCTGCTTTTTTCCTGTATTGCTCAAAAGTAATTCTCTGCTAACCCAAGCAGATTAAATTATTTTCATGGCAATTAACGATGACTTCAAATAGAGTGATGGAAAGATTCACAACACGTTTATCCTATTTAGTGAGTATCAGTAACTGACAGATAGTTATATAGACCTGTTGAACTGAGTTTACAGAATAAGTTACAGCCTGGTATTAAATGAAGGTTATATATTCATCATTATCTAGCAATAGAATCTAGAAGGCCATTTGTTTCATTCTTCGGAGTTACCAGATGGACGTGCCTAAATTCTAGTGACTGATAGCGTTCCCAATAAAACTAGAACACGACACTATTTTCTTTCTCACCACCACTAGATAATTTACCAATGATACCTATCTTTTTGTCCAACATCTATTTCTTATGCAAGCGTAACACTTCTTACTGTTGTCATGCAGCCAAGAAAAGGTAAGCATTCACTTAAAAAAGGCTTTTTGTATGAAAACTGCGAACCAACCATCGTCGGTGCCGACAAGCTATTTCAACATTTAACTTGGTCAAAGAATGCTTCAGTTTTCTACCTGATATTATGATAAACTCGAATTCATATTACTGAAGCGTAACCATATAGTAATCTCAAAATATTTGATTTTGTAATTGCACTGTATTTTGGTTTATCCATACAACCTTACTCTGTTCAGACTTTATACTGTGATTTTGATTGTATACTCCAATAAGTGAAACACAGAATTTTCTGGAAAGACAATGCAAACTTATAGGAGAGGTAGACAGTTGTCTTGATTGAGTTTCAAATGTTGAACAAGCCAACATACAACAGTTTGAAATTCGCCTTTATTACATAACACAACATTGTCAGTCATTCGTGAATTCATTGTTTTCAGAGGAAATGTATAATCTTGGATCCTGTCGTTAAAACGTATCAATGCTTACAAGAAATACTGAGGAGTAAATTCATGTCATATGTTAAACAAATCCTGCCGTCACTGCATCAAGGCTCAAGCTCACTATAGAGACAAAATATGTAGGACATTTTCTAGCTCACCTTCTTGTTTTCTACTAATTATTTAATCATTTGAGAAAGAAGTGGAAAGAATTTCAGGCTCACAGAAATACAGAATTAAAAGAAAGGTTGGGAAAATAAAAAATAATAAGTGATATACACATATGTGTACTTACATATAAAAAATATCTGTTATTTCCTGAACTTTTCGATTTAATTAAGTCTTTTTTTGTGATCAAACATTTCTTCTGTTAAAATTGAGTTTGTCTGCTTTCTTGCTTCAATGTTTCTGTCTTTCTCTTTCAGGTCACTGGCACACAAGCAAAGTTTTACGCAAGGAAAAAAACAAAGTTCATACTTTTGTTTCATGTTTCACTCACAGGAATAAATAATGTTAACTTCAATGAAGGAATGATGGAAAGAACAGTAGGTTGGCAATAATTCTTTTCATTTTTTTTCTCTAATAATCAAAAACTGTCACTGTTTCTTATATTTTAAGTATTTGGAACACACATGAAATATGTTCCTTTCAATATAAATCTCGTTTACCACAATAGGAACTAGGCAGATTTCTGCAGTCATTTTCTGTAATAAACAGCCAGCTTTATATCTGCATTGAAGAACTGAACAATCTTTATCCCTTATTCAGCTTCACTGAATGAGCAAAATCTTTTAATTCCTTGACATTCAAAACTTAATAAGAAACGGTAGTTCACTTGAAAGATCCACTAACCGACTACTTAAATAAGACAATCCTTTCAATTACTTCCATGTATATCTTACTGTCAGTAGGAGCATCTTTCATATCGATTCTCTTGCTTCAAAAATCTGAAAGTGTTTATTAAAAAGATAATGTTAATTTAGGAGTAGAAAACTTCCAAGGAACTCTCTTGTAGACTGGATTCATATAAAAATTCTTATGTGAGAGTGTGAAAACAATGAATGTTATCGAATAAATCCACCCAATTGTGAAGAGGGTTCTTCTAATAAACCTATGACTCACGGGTGAAAGTAACATAGACACTCTGTCGGAAATGATTATCAAGATTTGAAGAATTGTTTTTCCTCAGTGTTTTTGAGTCATGTGCTCCTGAAAAAAAGTCACTATGAGAATGACTCGTTAGCTCTTTAGGCCATGATAATAATCGTAATTTTTTGTGTTCTGCAAGCATTGTGATTTATTCCTCAAAGTTTGATCACCAGGTTAGGGGTCTTCACTAGTATTTACTTGTTTATGAAACGTCCGGGAAGGGACTTCAGTGCTCGGTGGACACCAAACGAATATCACCTTAGGTCAACTCAACAATTAGTGTTGTGAAGCTGAATGAAATGGCTTGAGAATGTACTCATTTGAAAAGGGTTTTCTCGAACGCCAATCAGCTAGTTCAATGAATTCAGAATAAACCTTCTTCCCTATCTGTGTTACGAAACATGTCCTCATTTTCATATATTGTATATAACAGTGAGATTACTCAAACGTTTCTAAATAGAAACTCACAAATTTAATCAATAAACTTCTATGGTATTATTATTGGAGAACACCAAACAGAATGAACATATTAGAGTTAGATTTTGTGGATTTTTCAGTGAATGGCACAGAATGGGTCATTTGAAACTAAATATTTCCTCAGGATTAGAGGTACGCTTTGAAATTCGATGCCAATAAGTGCAGAAATTAGGTCAACGACGGCCTAAAACACATAGCTGAGGGATTACACTGAAATATAGTTACAGGTTAACCTCGCCTGGTTAACTAGTTCACTAGTTACTAGCCGGTCCTAAGCCAGGCTAAAGAGGGAACGTTGGGAATAGGGCTAGCAACCCTACCCCCTAAAACAAATCTAACCGCTAAACAAACTTCAAAGCATAAACGATATATAAAAAATAATAACAAAATTATTCCTCGCTCGAATCGGAGAGGCAAAATGATGCCAGTTAGTGAAAGCCCACAGGAAGCCAATTGACCGATGTGTCTTCGCCTCTCTCGATGAAGCAAAAGTAAACGTGGGGATGTGGAATGTCTGCACCATGACTGAACCTAGCAAGGCAGCCCAGATTGCAAACGAGATGAGAAGGTATCACATTGAAGTGCTTGAAATTTGTGAAAGCAGATGGAATGGGAGTGGACTGTCCAAACTGTCATCTGGAGAGGAGAGTCAATAATCTACTCCGATATTGTCACCCAGACGACAACCACGAGCACAGCACACTGAGTGATGGAGTGGCTATCATCATGTCCACAACAGCATCGAAGGCCCTCATGCAGTGGGAACCAATCTCCTCCAGGATCAGGATCATGACAGCAAGGTTCAACTCAAAAAGAAGGAAGGAAGGAAGGTCACAATCATACAATGCTATGCTACGCACCTACAAATAATGCAGATGAAGAGGAGAAGGAGGAATTCTACAGACAACTGCAATTAGCATTAGACACGACCATACCCCAGTTGGCAATGGCGACATTCTATTGAGTGGGGTGATATGAATGCTAAACTGCGAGGAACAGGCAACACAGGAAGAGAAATAACCATGGGTCGAGAAGCGCTCAGTGAGGTGGTGAACGAGAATGGAGAATTGTTTGCAGAATTCTGTGCATCCAACGATTTGGTGATTGGAGTGAGGCAGTGAGTTCAAGCACAAGGATATCCACAAAGCGAGCGACATAGATTTCACCAGACACCACGACACACTACAATAAAAATCAGATCGACTTCATCTCAATGTGAAGAAAGTGGAGACGCAGTCTACTTGACACAAGGTCAAGAAGAGGAGTAGATGTAGGTTCAGACCACTATCTAGTGCAAGGAACCCACCTTCCAAATCAAGTTAGAAGCCTTCGACGAAGCTGGTAATAGACCACAGTGCAAGTTCAACACCCAGAACAGAAACTGAACTGAAGGACGAAATTACAAGGGAAATCTTCACGGCAGCCAGACATCAAGACAAAATGGGACATATCGAGCAACATATCTGAAGAAACCTGTGTGGAAGAATACTAGAACTCTTTGAAAGGCATGTGGAAAGAAACCTGCACAGCCGTATCGGGAAGGAGGGAAGAAGAAAGAAGATAAGGAATGGATCTCAATGGATACATGGAAGCTGATAGAGGAGGGAGAGGAGAATGGTGAAGCAGAAGATGAACCAGTGCAAGGATGCTCAACGACAAGAAGAGGAACTGAGTACAATCTAAATAACACTACACTGCACAGTTGAGTGAAGAAGAGTGCTCGCAGAGAGAAAAGACGCTTCCACGAAACATTGGCAAGTGAAGGAGAACAGGCTGCAGGTAGGAGATACACAGACCTGACAACATTGTATCAAATAACTAGGTTACTTGCTGTCTGGGAGGGAAGAGATCAACACAGACGAAACCAATAAAAGATGATGAAGGAGATTTAATTACCAGAGAGGAGAAAAGAAGGAAACGATGAGCTGACCACTTCAAAAAGCTGTTGAATAGACCACCACCACCTTCTACATTTCTTCCAGAAATACCACCTGCAACCCAGCCACAGAACTACAAGTCAACATAAATCCTCCAACAAAAGTCGACATCCTGAATGCCATGAAGCTACTGAGATGTGGGAAAGCAGCAGGACCATATGGGATCCCGTCAGAAGCACTGAGAGCAGACACAGAGACAACAGCAGCAGACATGCTCACACGACTCCACTATTTCAGGAGGTGTGGAAGGAAGTGAAGGTGCCAGCAGGTTGATTGGAATAAGGGTCACCTTGTCAAACTCCTGAAGATGTGAGACCTCAGTGTTTGCAAGAAGTGGCGTGGAATCATACTCCTGTCCACCTAATACATGCAAAATATTATTCGGCATCATCCTGGAGAGACTGAAGTATGCACTGGATTCAAAACTACTACCGGAACAGGTTGGCTGGCTGTCTTCTGGAAGTACAAATCATGTGCTGACCGAATTGCAACGCCATACTACGCTTCATCATAAAACAGAGTATAGAATCACAGTCAACTCAACTCAACTCAACTTCAATTTCATCGACTTTGAGAAGGCTTTTGACAGCGTCGATCGAGAAGTCATTTGTCAGGCAGCTGCTTCAACACTACGGTTTTAGTGCCACAAACGCTTATCAACCTCATTGAACAACTATATGAAGATGCCACATGTGAAGTGTTTCACAATGGGGAGCTCAGTGATGCCTTTGCACTGGAATTGAAGACAGATGGAAGGCAATGTTTCCTATTATCACGTATGATATTCCTGATTGTGGTTGACTGGATCATGCAACAAACAGTGGGGAGCGAGAAGGGGAGGATACGCTGGACTGGGGAAAAGAACCCAGAAGACTTGGATTTCGCCGATGACTTGTGTCTCATGTCATACAAACATGGTGATCTACAGGCGAAAACTAACAAGTTGACAGAAGAGGTGAGGGAGGGCAGCGAAGATGGGACTTCAAGTGAATAAAGAGAAGACAGAGGTGATGAAGATACCCAATCAGCAGCAACAGCAACAACAACAATAATAATAAGCTGCAATCACCATGAACGAGAGAAACCTATAGGAAGTAGCCTCCTTCACCTATCTAGGCAGCACTATTTCAACTACAGGTGGCACAGGCACAGACGAGGATGTCAAAGTCAACCAGGATTGGAAAAACAGCAAGATAGGCTTTCGTGTATTAACCTGAAACCAGTGTGGAGATCTTCTGCACTCCTCTCAGCATGTGGAACAAGATGTGGATTTTCAACACTAACGTGAAGTCATTGCTTCTGTGTGATGGTTCAGAGACTTGGTACGTTACGAAAGGGATTTCCAATAAACTACAGACATTCATCAACAACTGCCTATGCTGGCTCGTTACTGAAGATCAGATGGCGAGATTAACAAGAATAAGCAAGAAGGAACTCTGGATGACTGGCTGGTTGGCTGGCAACGAACCAACCAAGAACCTATCACTCAACAAATGTGTGTTGGAATGAAGTGGAGATGGATTGGGCACACACTGAGAAGGCCGACTGGAGACATCACACGAGCAATTGGGCATCACAGCTGAGGGTGACATGGAGGAGATCTTGCGAGGAGGAAATGAGAGGTTGTGGGCTGTCGTGGAACCAGGTTGAACAGATTTCAGAGAAGAGAGTGGAATGTTGACGTGCTACTGGAGCCCTATCTTCCATTAGGAACCCAAGGGACTAGTAAATAAATAATAATAATAATAATTTCATGTTAGGATCCAGGACTTCTTAGACAGATTTGATGACTGATTTCTATACTTTGAATTGTAACGTCAGTATAACCACTGTTGAAAATACTGCATCTAATCGTTTTCTAACTCACACGCAGTTCGTACTTTTCCATACCTCAGCTAAATTTCCTGGATTAGTGTATATCGAATAAGCTAATCTTAGATCGGATGGCACAAGATGGTTAGGAGTATTCTTGAGCATGTATG